CCTCCTTCATAAATAAACATTTGTTGTTCTTGTTTTCTCCCTCGACAGCCAGGCTCAGGTTATCTAATAATGGGGTGGATGGGATGCACTTGATAACTTTTCATAATTCTTTCACATGTGCTATCTAATTTGGTCTGCACCAGAAGCCTATGACATTGAACTTGCTTCCAGTCTTTTCAAATCAGGAAGAGTTTCCATTGTCTTACAACAATGAGCCCTTAAGGTTTCATGCATTCTGTCTAGGATGAGGAAAAAAGTTCTGACCACCTGGATTTGATTAAGTTTTGCAGGATCCTGTTCCAGCTAGGGCAGCTACACCAGCCAACTCCGGAACCAGGAAACGTGATATTCTTTCGTTGATAGCAGCCCTGAAGCAAGCAGGTGATCAGGTCACTGATGAACTCTATCTACATCATCTCCGTGAAGAGCTGCTTCTAATTCTTCGACCTCCAAGTCGAGCAGGCCGAACGCCAAGGAAAAGAGAGCAAGCTGGCCGGAACTTCCCACCAGGAGCGGAGCTCGTCCTGCCGAAGCATCTCTCCGCTGCCCATGTGGACTCCCGCAGGGCGCCGGGGGCAGCGCCTCAGCATTTCAGGTGGGAGCAGGGGCAGCTGCTCCTCTCGCTGTTGCCGCATCTGGGCGTGGGAGTCGAGGGCAGGCGAGCACACGGTGGACAGCGGCTGGTGGCTAGGAGTCACTGAAGAGGTTCCCGCCCTCGCCCCATCCACGGCTGCAGGTGCGGCTGGGGCTGCGGCTGCGGGGGTGGTGCCCCCAGTCCCTTACAATGTAATTATCTCACTGCCCGCGAAAACAGACGAAAGATGATTGTTGATTACAAAATGAGTCTGGCCTCATTAGATTTGGCCTGATTATTTACACAGGTGCAACAATAATTAATTTAGCATAAAGGCCTTCTTTAAGTTGCTCCGCTAAGAGGTTTCCATAAGGAATCTCAGGTTCTAAAGTCTTTATTACTTGCTGTTTTGAGGCTAAGACCATATCCAAGAAACTATCCACTGGTTTTCACCTGCAGTACCTATACACTTTGTGACTTCCTCTTTTTGCAAAGTTCTCCAAACATCTCTAGGCTCATGGCCTGCCATGGAAGCGACCTCTCTAAGCAGCTCTAAGGCTCGACCCTGAAAGTCAGGCCCCAAGAGGGCTTTCTCAGTATTGTTTCTATGAGGTCAACCTTAATTCCCTAAAAGTGAGTGGTCAGGCCATTGGCAACAGCTTCTCCAGGTTGACAGGCAGTCTCCCCTCTTGTCCCTGTGGTCATGTCCACCTGGAGGGGCCTGGCAACAAGGTTTCTCCTGGCATGGGCAGGCTGTTCTCCTTAAAGCTGCCTGGCAGGTGGCAGGCACCAAACACCTTAGACTTGGAGCAGCAGTGAGTCGGAGAGTGTGATCCCCTCTCCCAACTTCCAGAACGCCCCTCCACTTGTCTTTGGTTGTCAGAAACATTTTCCAAAAAAGGCAAAAGTAGCTCAGATCAGTTGTCTATTATGTTCCTGGTTGGAAATTATTTGGTAAAGTCCCTTCTGGAGAAGAATCTTTAGAAAGATTCCAAAAATAATTCAGCAGGAGTGTGAAGCACCAACAGGGAAGACTTGCAAACCACTGCTTCAGTCTTCATGACATAATTTCAAATTCGAGCCTCTTCCTACTACCATTCTGATTCTGGAGTATGGGCCATATATGATTATCATTGCTTTTGTGTATTGTTGAAGAAATCTTTGCCTACCCCAAGGGAATCTTCCTGCCAAATTTGTGGAAGAAGCTTTACTTTACCAAGAAGAACATTACACCATTGAGCTGAATCTCAACATTGAGCAATTAAACACTACATTAAAAAATTAAAACATTAAGCAGAAAGAAAATAATGCAATATAGTGATAATTTGAAATAGTGAAATGCTGCCCATTTGGAAAGTAATACCTAGTAGACAGGAAGGCTGGAGAATTGGGGTGCAGAGGTTGCCCCCTAGTGTCCAAAGTCAAGTTTGGAGTCTCTGTGTAAGAAGTGAACTGAATATCATTCCTGAACTTCATGAAATACTTCTCTCCAAAGGAAAGGAATGCTGGCAAAGCTTCAGTAAAACACGTTCTCTCTAAATATATCATTCTCTAAATGCAGGAAGTATATCCATTCTCTAAATGTGGGAGGTATATCTGTTGATGATGCAGATGCCAATTTGAAATTAAGTTAGACATGTCTTATGCATTTCTGTCTCCCTACACCTTGCACAAGGACAACCCATATTATGATGTTTTACACAATATATTGGGAGCATATTTATATTATAGGCCTGATGTTGGTTAGGTCCAAGGGATGTCCTTCACTGAGGCAGGACAATTCTCAATGAGGAAGAGGTAGATGTCTTTACTGCATTTGGAAATCTAATGAATAAGTCATGTCAGATGGTCTTTTTCTGTGTGGATTGCAGAAAGATGTTGACATATTTTAGGATATTTGAAGTATTCTTTTGAGGACATTTTTGTCAAACTTTTTCTTCACATCAGGTTTTATGGTCTTGCACCAGACACATACTTGATACACTGGGTCTTCACACAGTAGCTCAGATCTACTTGACCTGTCCTGTCCTGTCCTGTCTGGGATGTATTCTGCAGACAGGGAGGAATTTTTATTGAGAAGTGGGCTAGAAATCCTCCAAGTACATGAAGGCATTTTGCTGCAGATAGACTTTATTCATATAGCACATTTTCTAACTGAATTGGCAGAGGATATCATGCAGGAAAGTTGTTCAGCTGTATTTCACTCAGGGGAGCACCAATAAATGGACTTAAGCCTTCATGTCTGTGATAAAGGATGTTCAAGGAGGAAACAAGAATAACAGTACTGCTTTGAATAGCTAATCCTCATAATAAATAAATGAAGTATAAAAAAGTATGTTTGATAACAGCATTTTGTTTCCTATGTAAGCAACATGGAGGGAAACTAGAGAAATAAAAACAAATCCAAGAAATTAAAAATAGCTGATTTTGAATTTTGTGAGTGAAATAAAGCAAATGAATAACTTATTGAAATTACTATTAAAAATATTTTCTAGGGACAGTCATTTTACAAAGGAAAAAGTGTAAATGGCTAGTTCATACTCCACAATTTGGGTTGAACAGTTGAATGCCATAATATTTTAAAACAGTTTTTTTTTTGGAAAAAACAGTGGCTGGTTGTACCCAATTCTATAAGCATCATTCTCAAATATAACATTCCAGACAAGGCCTTAGTGCATAAACAATTTTTTCCAATTACATTTAGTAAAAAACGTGAGTAGATTCCTATTGAACTGATGCAAATAACTTTCCATTTAAAACTAAAATATTTAATAAAAGTTTTGGAATTTGGGAGGGTGGGTTAGGTATGGAGAATAAGATATGATTTAAAAATTTTCCATTTCAATGCATAAACCCAGAATCTAATAAATGTGTGTGTTATAGATAACTTAATAAGAAAGAGAAAGGGCTACTCTATACATATCCAGGAAATAGAACATTGAAACATCAACAATATTCCAAATAGTTACAATCATCTCTCATGAGTTCATTCAGTTCTATATAATCCATTCTTGTTCCACTGGACCTTGGGTTAGCAGTATCATGAATATGAACTCATTGGTCTCTTGACTCAAAAGAGTTTTGGAAATCCTGACTCTGCCCACTAAAATCTGTTTAAATGATGACATCAGAGACCTGTGCTCAGGATCTATTCTTTGAAGTGTCAATAGTTTGAAGGACCAAGTACAGTCTTGTTCCACAGGCTCTGAGATTATGCTTCTTTGCTGAAGATATGAACTCTGGTCTGCAGCTGATTGCAGAGCCTTCAGGGTAGCATCGAGTAACACAAAAACTATATGTAGGTGCTAAAGACTTAAAATGACTGGTAATAAATCCGAAGAAGGTTCATAATAAGAATGACATTACTGACAGGAAAATTTGGTGGTTTCTGTGTCATGAAAGAAAAAGCTAATGCAAATCAATCAATCAATCAACCTTTAGATGCAATATCTGTAAGGACAATGATTAAGGCTATTTTCAAAGAAGATGGTGAATATCACATCTAATTTATAATAATAAATGAACATACAGAATTTACAGAGGAAAAAGACATACAAAATTCCTGAATCATAATGTATATACTGTATTTTACTGTGCATAATGCACACCCACGTTTCTGTGTGCATTATGCATGAGATTATTGTACCCATGGCATGTAATCATTATACCCATGTATAATGTGCATCCTTATTTTTCCCTCAAAAACTTGGGCAAAGGAGTGCACATTATACATGGCAAAATACTGTACACACAAATATGCAATATGCAATATACTCAGAATATACCAAGAATTTGTTAAGAATATCTAGTCAAGCCCTGGTTGGTGTGGCTCAGTGGGTTGAGTGCTGGTCTGCAAACCAAAGGGTCCCAGGTTTGATTCCCGGTCAGGGCACATGCCTGGGTTGAGGGCCAGGTCCCTGGTAGGGGGCACGTGAGTGGCAGCCACACATTGATATTTCTCTCCCTCTCTTTCTCCCTCCTTTCCCCTCTGTCTAAAAACAAAATAAACAAAATCTTAAAAAAAAGAATGCCAAGCCAAGAGATTCTTTTAAACATTTGTTTTAATTAAAGTCTACAGATAAATCTGATGTTTATCCCCAAATGAAAACCACTGGACTAGAAGATGTGATTCAAATTAAAAAAGTAAGATTCTACTGGAGTAAACATTTTAAATAATAACAAACATTATGACTCAAAACATCATATTGTCTAACATCAGGCAAAGCACTGTCAGGACACTGATAGTTAAAAAACTTGACAAATCTCCCGGGACTACCCGTGAAGCATTCGAGACCTAAAGTATTGACATTAATAATATTTTACCTTTAATTTAACTTAGGAAAGCCTGGGCATCTTTTACAATTTGATGACTTTCCATGAAACATATTAACAGTAACATAACAAATAAAATTGAATTATTTTTAATACCTGTGTTTGATGAAGTAAAGGAGCATCTCTGAATTTCAGGGAGGCAACAATCAAAAGCTGTCAAGAGATTTGAACACTTAAGATAGAATCATAGGTTCCTGAGACATTGTAGTTGGCTCCATTCGAAAGTGACAATGAAACATCTAAAAATAAGTGCAAACTGTAATATGATTGTAAAGAACATTAGTTCTTTCATAAGTGAGAAATCTTTGCATTTTAAAAATAGTCAAGAATGTAATAAAGTTAACATAAAGTGTAGAAAATTATTCTGGTAAGACAGAATCTTTTGCAACCTAGACAAATTACACAGAACAAAGTTTTCACATTGTAGGTGAAGGCAATCAGCAGTAAGCCAGGGAAACTGGACCATCAAAACTGAGCGAACTTTGCTAAGATTTTAACACCTTTCATGGTTTTCAGACTCAGGTTTTATAAACCAAGGCAAATAAAAGTAGAATGGTGGCTTCATAGGGTCTGAGGCAGGGCTGGGGGACAAGGAGTTTCAGTTTGGGAAGGCGAAAAGTTTCTGGGATGAATGGTGGTTATGGCTACACAACAGTGTGAATATACTCAGTGCCACTGAACTGTACACTTAGAAAGTTAAAATGGTTAAATTGTTTCCAAGGTTTGCCATTCACTGTGTTCTTTTATGTTCTGGAATAAACTCATACTTTATTTTAGGATGCATCTCAGGGCATCTGCAATGTCAGAACTAATTTTATAATGTTATACAATGTTATTAATATGCAAATGCTTTTGCTGTTATCTCCATATGATTTAATCAGTAAGAATTATAAACATTTCTCAATTTTGATTTCTAATATGATTAATACAGTGGAACCTCAGTTCTTGAACTTAATTTGTTCTGAAAGGCTGATTGAGAAGTGATTTGTTTGAGAACTAAATCATTTTTTCCCATTGAAAATAATGTAAATTAAATTAATCTGTTCCAGGCCCCCAAATGATTCTGCTTTAACCTTTCTTATATATATTACACATCTAATATACTATTTAATGTATATATAAACACTTAAAAAAGGGACATGGAATGTAAATGTACAATTTAACAAAAAGGAAATGAAATGTATCAGCATGAAAGGCTTGTCGGGTCAAGAACCAAAGTTTTATTTGACAACCAAGATATTTTTTCCTTGAACAATTTGGTTGAGAATCGAATCATCTAGATAGGAGACATCCAAGAACTGAGGTTTGACTACAGTTGACATCCCAACTCCTCCAGGCCCCAGCACACATACACATACACTTACTTTTTAAGGTTTTCAATATGTTTCCAGAGTGCAAAGGAAGCTCTGGAGACAAAACAGACACATGTGGATCCTGAGAAAGGAGACATCTACCAAGAAGGGCTCCTGGTGACTTAACTGGGGTCAAATTGAAAACAGCGGAGCCTAACAGCCATTTCTCAAGCAAACCACACTTCAGGGAGAAGCCTGCACTGAACTAACTACCAGCCTCTGCACCAAACTGCCTGCCTGCACTGCGTTTCTGCCATCTGAGTCAGTCCTTATAAAGGACTTCCTGGAATCCTATTTTAACCAATAAAACTGAGGTTTTCCCCATCCAGTCGGAGCTACACAGCTATATCTCCCAATCAAAAGTGGCTCTATTCTGACCAATCAAGACAGTGCCTTTTGGACCAATCAAACTACAAGGGTTTGGAGTCTTTATTTACATGAGGATGAATGAGAACAGGAGCTTCTGTCCATATTAGTCAGCTCCCCTCTGGCTCTGAGAGCACACTTTTCCTTTCTAGGCTGAGCTGAAACACAGAGGAGAGTAGAACAGACCAGGGCAGGGCAAAGCAGACCAGTCCAGTGAGGAGTGGAGCAGAGCTGTTTAGCTAGAGAGGGACCTGGACCCAGGGCTACCTCACAGCTGTGCTACTGCACAGTAGAGCTGTTCCACTGCTGTGCTGTTTTCACAGTCAGCCAATTGAGCTGTTTTGCACTGGATAAAGTTTTCTTCTTCACTGCACCCCAAATTGGGGATTCCTGTCAGTGTTGAATTAGTGCCAACAACCATCGACCATTGGTTGGCAGCAACGTAAAACCCTGAAAGCTATTGCTTTAGGACAAAATTATTTTTTTCTTGAAATACAACTATGTAAGTTGTATTTCTCCATTACTCCTCAATATAGCCACAACCACTAACATAAATTATAAGTTTTAACTAAAGCAACTTCTATTTCACAGAGAAAACTGGGGCAGAGGGGAAGTAGAGGGTAATTGTGAACACTGTTATATACCAGCTTTTCAGTTTTTCAATAGATTAGCAGGGCTCAAAAATGCATATAACAACTCTTCACAGCCACACACATACCGTTCCATATAGTACAACTTATCAAAGTGGTAAGAATGAGCACATTTATTAACAGACTCAAAGATAAAGCCTTTCTGTAGCATATGAATAAAAGAGGCAAACCCATAAACATAAAATTGTGCTGAATAATCAATGTTTCAATATTCTATTTACTTAATAATTTTGGTATCCAATGATTAGTCATTAATTAACTCCCTTTTAATATCAGTTCAAGGTTTAAGTTATGTAAACCTCTTAGAAATTATTTTCAAGCTGAAATACTACAAAACTAAATTACTGTTGAAATAAAAGGTATTTCAGAACAATGACTCAAGGTAGTTAAACACTATGAGTGTTTAATCTTAAACATTATGAGTAGTGTTAACTTATTTGTTCAGTAAATCTGCATATGCTTAGGAAAAAAATATATCCACATAGAATATTGTTAGGAATTATACTTAACATGAATAAATCAGAGAAAATAGAGCTGTCTTTAACAAATCCCATATTAAATTAGTCTCATTGTCCAAAGTTACACTTAAATTTGTAAACCTGAATTCTAAAATGTTATTGAGTTGGTTTCTATAAAAATACTTTATTAATGCATGGCATTTAAAGGTTTAAAGTTCAATTTCACTACTTTTTGGGAATTTTAGGAATATTCACTTTATTTAAACATTTATTTATCTCTCTCTGCCAATCATTAAAGAACTCCTTAATTGTGACTTTATAATCAAATTAATTACCATATTTTTCAGACTATAAGATGTACTTCCCCACCCCCCCAAATTTGTGAGGAATAATGGTTGTTAATGCTGCTGTTGAGTTCTGTTTATATTCACATTGGTGAAATATTATGTTATTTATGTTATTAAATATTTTACTACATTTTTTGCTTCAAATTTTTTTTTTGCATTTTCCCCCTCTAAAACCTAGGTGCATCTTATGGTCTGAAAAATACAGCAATACTCCCTGGAGTTAGAAAGTCATTGCTCATTCACACAATGAGGGAGAAAGGCCTTACTAAACTACAGGCACATAGACACACAGAGACAAATAAGGAGAGTTTATAGCTTCAATTCTAAAATTTCTGTCATAGGCAAAGGGTAAATACAGAAAAGTCAAATCTCACCAGTCCTGCTATGAAAGAGCTGTTCTTCCCAATCGGCACAGGACTTCTAATTGCTTTGGGTTCAAAATAGACAAACAGACAATAGGGCCAACAATCCAGATTTTTCAGTCTCCCATCCAACAGAGACTAGATCTCTATAATCCATTAATCCATTTACAGAGTTCACCAAGTGGTCAGACCATAAAAACAAATTCTCAGTCCCAGCCACCACTAATAAGCATTGGCTGTAAATGAACCAAAATGAAAACCAAAAACAAGATTAGTAGAGAGAAAAATTAAAATTCAAAAAATAGCAAAGATGCTTTGCCACTTTGGATTTACTTGTGGGAGCCAAGAAGCAATAAGCCAAGATGAGAAGTACCTAGGCTTAAGCAGCCCGTAGGAAGTATGCTCTCTGGTGACCAGGCCCTGTGAGGCCAGATGGCCATGAATCCATGGGCATCTTGGTGGAAGACCTCTAAAACTCTTAAAAGGCCATTTTCAAAAGAAGAAAAAAGTATGATTCTTATACACATATAAACAAGTATTAAAGATTTTATTCAATATATTAATCAGGGAACTAATGAAGTGTTATAACAAGAAGGATTCAAAGGAGAATCCAGAGAGCAGACACCTTTATAGATCAGAAATATTGAAACACGTGTGCAAATGGAGCCCAAACCGGTTTTTTGGGGGGGAGGGGAAGGGGGGGAGCAGAGGTGTTTTGCATTGCTATTATTTAAAACTTGGGAATTGTAAAATAGCACCAATAGACTCAATCAGATAATTGGAAGGGGGTACTACAAACAATGCAGAATGTTATTGAAGCTCATTTTTTCCCCCTACATAAGGTCAAGGTGCTGATGACACTCCCTGTGCTAGAAAGATATGGTCCTACTGGACCTGCCAGTAATTCAACCACTCCCAGGCCCCAACTGAGGGTGGGGATTACTCTGGAATTATGATTACAGCCCTTCCCCAAGCCCAACCATCACATAATTTTCATCCAATAAGGCCTCCTAACACCCACAATATTTCCTGCTAGGCTCCACACAATGGAAAAAAAAAAGAGCAAACTTCTTCCCATGTTTCTGAAATTCTGATGTGAAAAGCCCAGACCTAAAAAAATATTTTTTAAACTTGAATTTGTTCAAAACCTCTCTAACTTTAGTTTCCAGTGTAAAAAGAAAATACCCACTAATTTAAAAAGATTTGCTTTAAACTGTTTTTTTTTAAGATTTTATTTACTTATTTTTAGAGAGGGAAGGGAGGGAGAGAGAGAGAGAGAGAAACATCAATGTGCGGTTGCTGGGAGCTGTGGCTTGCAACCCAGGCATGTGCCCTGACTGGGAATCAAACCTGCGATGCTTTGGTTTGCAGCCCGGCGCTCAATCCACTGAGCTACGCCAGCCAGGGCTAAACTGTTTTCAATAAACAAAACAGCAGGCTTCCCTACTTCTCTATAAAAATTCCTTTTGACTCAGCATCATGATGAATTGCCCAGTCTCATTTCTAAATGGTTTAAAAAAGGAACTCTTACAAAAATATACTGTGATAAACTGTTTATAAGAACAGAAAGAAAAAAGGCAGTTTGTCACTTATAAGTCTAAAATAGTGTTTGAAAAAAAGTAGAGATGCTTTCTTTCCCTCTGAGAAGTTTTAAAATGAAACCTCGTGAGTACAGGGTGGAGCTAAAAAGTCCATCTGATGTTAAAATGGACTCCCTCCACCTTGAATGCAGCTGAGGCCCAGAAGCAAAGGAAAAAACAGTAGGTGGCTAGTCACCTTCCTTCAAGGCTGATTGTGAGACCACCTGTGAGGACCAGCAAAGGAGCTAGTTCTGTGACTCCGAAATTAACACTCACGCCTCAACACCATAAGGTTTGGTGTTGAAGAACTTGAAAAGAGAGACTTTGGAAAAAAAATAGTTAAAACCCTGTGGCATTTTCCCTCCCACAACCCTCCCCCTGGGGACACTGAGCTCCTCCTCACCTGAAGTCTTTGGAGAAGGGGTTTTGAAAGATCAGTTGGAAAATTGTGTCCCTTAGAATTAAGAGGGCCAAATTGGGTGGCAGACCCATGTGGGAGAAGGTGAAAGGCAAAAGGCTAAATCTGAAGTCTGTGGTGCATAAATCACTAAGTGCAGAAGAGCAGGTTTTTAAATTTATTTTAATTTTTTAAAATTAATTTTATTCTAGCCCTGGCTGGCGTAGCTCAGTGGATTGAGCGCGGGCTGGGAACCAAAGTGTCCCAGGTTCGATTCCCAGCCAGGGTACATTCCTGGGTTGCAGGCCATAACCCCCAGCAACCGCACATTAGTGTTTCTCTCTCTCTCTCTCTCTCTCTCTCTCTCTCTCTCTCTCTCTCTCTCTCTCCCCCTCTATCCCTTCCCTCCCCCAAAATAAATAAATAAAATCTTTAAAAAAAAAAAGTTAAAAAAAATTATTTTATTCTTGTTCAAGTACAGTTGTCTGCATTGTCCCCTTACCACTCCAGCCCCCCACCCCCACAGCCATCCTCACCTTCCTCCCCTGGTCCCACCTCCCACCTTGGTTTTGTTCATGTGCCCTTTATAAGTTGTTCCTGAAAACACTCCCCTCCATTACCCCCTCTCACCTCCCCTCTGATTACTGTCAGTTTGTTCTTTATTTCAGTGTCTCTGGTTATATTTAGCTGGCTTGTTTATTTTGTTGATTAGGTTCTACTTAAAGGTGAGATCATATGGTTTTGGGCAAACATATTGGGGAAGGGAGAAAATGAGCTTGAGGGTTGTTTTCCTAGGTGGGTGTCCTGCTAGAGACTGGTAGGCAGCAGGCATTTGAAATCAAATGCAGAAACCAGTGGAACATGTGCCAGCAGGGGAGGTGTTGGAGTCCTATGTTTTCACTATAGCCATCTCCAAGGGCCCCACAAAAGTGTCCAATAAGGGGAGGACTCCATAGTGGAACACCCATGAAGATCTTGGAACAGTATCACCAAGTGCTATAGTTTCCCTGAAGTAAGACCTTTCCTCCTCTTGCTCTCCCCTCCTTCCACCTTTACTCCAAGCCCTGTAGGACCCACTCTGTAGAGGGGTGGGGAGGTGAAGTAGAAGTTTTAGGTGGGAAAATAAGCTAGCTGTGCCATGCCCACCCCATTTGGCCCTCATCTCATTGTCTTCACTGCAGGCTTTCAGTCTGAATCAGCCTGAGCTGGGGAAAGAAAGAAAATGCCTTAAATCAAGTTTAGAGTTTTAACTATTGACATTTCAATGTCTGAAATGAGATACTTATGACTAAAATTGACTGGAGGACTTTTTAATTTTTCTAAAAGTGTTAGGAAAAGTTGTAGGAACCCACCTGAGATTTCATCTGGGGGCAAGGAAGAAACTAGTCCCTGAGCAGAAGGAGCAGGAAAAAGTGAAGTTGCTTGATGAACACACCACATCCTCTGTTGTAACAAAATGGCTATGCAAGTCTACTCCAAAGAAAGATGGTCTCTTTCCCAAGCTCTAGCAAGCCAGGCCCTGTCCTAAAATTATTCAACAGGACCTTAAAAATTCCACTGCTGGATATCCTAGCCAGAAAAAGACCCTGTAGGCTGTAAGGAACTTGTCAGCCACAGAGGATACAGCAGCCAAGCAGGAAAATAATGGCAAGATTTCATGTGTTTATATGAAACCAATGTCTTCTAGCATAGATTTCAGATTTTGAATAGCCTATGGGATTCATCAGACAGAAAGTTGTAGAGCTAACAGCTTGTTTATCAGAGGAGGGGGAAAAATCAGTGCTGACTCATTCAGTTACTCAAAGCCATGGAAAAAATCAAACTATACCACAGATACAATGAATTCTAAAAACTCAGTCACAAGGCAGTTCTTTGTACTTTATGAGATTCACGTCCCAGGATGCGTGCCAAAGAATGTTTGGGGAAATTCTAGAGACTCTGCATCTTGGAGTGGCAGGTAGACATTAGCTGTAATCCTTTTAACCTCTCTACTGAGAGCAGCAATGTCCTCAAACCAGTCTCTGATCTTCAAGGACCATCCACATGCATGAGTAATTTAAATGTAAGCTGTGCTGTTTATTTCTAAGTCCTGTAGGACTAACAGGGTCTACAGAACCATCTCCAAGGGCCCCACAAAAGTGTCCAATAAGTGTCCAATCAGTGTAAGCACAGTGAATGTGTGCATCTGCTAACAAAGTAGGTGCATTATAATCATTTCCCCCAATTTTTATTCACATATAATTGAATATTAAAATGTATTGAGATGTTTTGAAATACATCTGAAGGACGTATTATGAAGTTATAGGTGCAGATGATTCCCACATTCCTTCAAAACCCATCATTTTTACTGGGTCAGGTTGCTTTTTAATGATTAGAGAGTCTACAATCAACTGAGGTGAGGCTGTTTAAATGGAACCCTTGCAGAAGTAGTGTGGCAGGCACATGGGAGACCATGCATGAGATGTTACTGGCAATTCCCAAATATAAAATTCTGGTGAGGGGACATTAAGGGGTAAGAGGTTGAGGAGTGTGTGACTGACAAAGAACCATAAGTGTGCTCCCTAAGAACCATAAAGGGCATCATGGCAGGCTGTGTCAGCCAGAGGAGCAAGTAAACTACAAGAATGTGTAAACAATGAAGGCCGGCAATTTGAGCACTTAGATTGTACCTAAGTGCACTGTTAATAAAGCTATTGTAATAATCATAACACACCTCTCTTTTTCTATATAAACAACTGTAAACCTACTTTTGCCCACCCTTGTATTTTTGTCTACATCTATGTCTTCCAAAAGTGAACCTGTCCAGAAATGGGCCATGTTACATCCACCTTCACAGATCCAGCTTCTTATCTGTAGTCTCTTCTCTCCTTTCATAGAGCAGGAAATATTGTTTACTCAGATTAATCAGTGGCTTGGCCAATGTTGAAATCCTTACCTCTTAGCCATATTCCCACTACTCCAAGAACTAACTCACATGCATGTTAAAAAGTCAGATTCCCAGCTTTTACCCTGAATCTAAAGAATTATGCTGTTCAGAGGAAGAGAATGCAAAATTGTACTACTAACAACTTC